CTAGCCTACAATCCATGAGTGCTGTATTGTAGTTGATCCTGACCTGTGGTGAAAACGTTCATCTTTTTGATCAGTTTCAGACATTTTAATGATCAACCCCAGTAAAGCGCAGTTGAAGAAGACATCCCAAGATGCACCTGGAAGCTATTGTTGCAAACCCCCTGGAAATAAGCTGTGTTTCTACAGCAGATTGGTTAACACCAGATGGTGGTAAACTGGTCTGTGGGTGGCGTTGTGCTAACAGGTAGCTAATCATCCCAGAGTGATTGGGTTCAATTGTTGTCAAATCTAGCTGGCTGGCAAAATGTGTGAAAATGCAAAATAAATAACCCCTAAAACCCTCATTAACAATGACATGTTGATATCTCTGCATGCTGAACAGGCAGAGAGAAACCTGGAGGAGCTTCAACATGCTGCTCTGTTTCATATCGCTTTGTGTTTACAGTTATTGATTCATAAGCTAGAGCTGGTTTAGCAGAGGGAGGAATCAATCCGCGGATCAGCTGCTGTAGTATTCATAGCGGTTGAAAAATACTCTTGCAATGCACAGGATTAAATAAGTGAGAACATTGTGTGCACTACATAACCTGTAGCTAATATACCTCAACGAATATCAAGTTAAAGGGACAGTTCAGGTGTTTTGAAGTGGGGTTGTATAAGGTACTTAGTAGCAGAACAAATTACAGCCACCTCATAAAGAGTGGTTGCTGGTCTATAGCCTTGATTGGTTAGTTTGTTTATTATTGTGATGGTTAAGTTAGTCACACAATTATACAAACAAAGTTACCGTTTGAAGCAGAACTACTGTTTTCTAAGAGGTAAAATGACAGGTTCAGGCGGCTTTGGAGAGAGCCCAAACAATGGCTTTATTTCATAATGTTATAGCTGTCTCACGGCAAGTTAAAGAAGCAAAAATATGTCATACGCTTAAACTGATGATTATTTTGTTAGGTGGCTAATTTACATATTGCTGCTGCCACCGTCCGTCCACAGTATATTGCTTTACTTCCATGCCAGTACTCTTGTCTGCTTCTCAGAACTAGAAGCGTTGCAATCCGCCATTTACTGAAAGTGGCAAACTGAATATTTCACGTACCTCAACCAACCCCACTCCAAAACATCAAACTGTAAAGACATAACATCTTAGCAATGTGGTTTCTGGGTTTGCTCCTTATACCAATCACAAACTGACCTAGACAACAGGGTGTCACTTCCAGTCCAAGAGTAAAGTAAAGTAAATATATATAACTCAGTTTAATTCAGGAACCATGTAGTGTTGACACTGGGATGTAGTGAGGGAGAACGTGGAATCAGGTCCAAAGCAGTAAAGGGAACTGAAGTGGCCAGCATTAAGGAGCACTAGGCATTTCTGTACGAATCACTCTAGTGGAGCAGCAGAGATGCACAGGTTGTTTAAGGCACAAGCAACTTGCACAATCTTATCAAATGTTGAGAGGTTGGAGGTGCGCTCGGAGACCGTGGTGAAGGGGCTCTCCACGGGGCCGGTGAGCATGGCGTACCTCTGCTTCACCACGGAGAGCACCCTCTGCACATGCCTCTGCACACTCACTGTCTCAGAGGAAGTGTCAGGCAGAGGTGAGCTCGCTTCACCTTGGTAGCTGCCGGCTATTTTAAACAAAGCTCCTCTCGCAGCCACAGAATCTGCAATGTCCAGATCTCGACTCGCCAACACCACGTCTCCCGGGAGGAGCTTGCAGAGAAAGCCACAGCCCTCAGCCAGGCTTTTGTCCCCAACGTTGCCCAGAACGCCCCGAGACACAAACGTTACAACGCCTTGTGGAGCAACACCAATCAGATACTTCAACACATTATAACTTGTCCCGCCCCCCTGAGAGCTCGCCACCACCCTCTGCTGCTGGTTGCCACGGGAAACCGGCTCCTCAAAAGGCACCATGAAGCAGTCGATGATGACAGCGCAGTCGGGGTGGGACGAGCGCAGAGCGACAGGCAGGTTCTTACGAAGTTCGGCTCTAGAGGGCCAGAAGACGGCGGTGGGCACCAGAGTGGAGGACATGATGTTGACCATCTGGTGCACCGTCCTGGTCACCGTGCCGACTTTAACTCCGAAGCGGTAGGCTAGGTCCTGGTTGCGGAGGTCCAGGCGGAGTCGCATCAGCGTCAGAAGCAGCTGCTGGAACTTGGAGAGCTTCACGGTTTTCATGCCGTCCATGTGAGGTGCCAGCAGCCACATGACCGTCTCCAGGACAAAGTAGTTTGGTAAACCAGTGTAGAACTTGACCTTCTCTGCATCGTTCCTCAAGGAGTTCTCAGAGAGGGCCATTTTGTCCAAAGAGTCCCTGAGGGTCTGGTTCTCCTTCTTCAGGGCTTTCAGGACATTGTCAAAGTTAACCGCTGCGTCCGACGTGTTAGGGGCAAACTTTCCTTTCTTGCAGTCGATAGATTCATCATCCTCGTCATCGTCTTCATCGCTGCTGAGGGAAGACGACGCACTTTCCTCCACAGCCGTCTCCTGCTCCCTCTCCTCAGGATGCTCCTCCTGACCTCGCTCCCCCCTCACTGAGCTGCCCTGGCCCTGCAGGAACAGCAAGGCGTTAGCCGCCTCCACGCGGGCCTCCTGCTTGTCCAGGATCTCCAGGGAACCGGGCTCCTTCATCTCTGGGGATAAGGGAGCGGGCGTGAACACAGAAGGAACATAATCTGGAGAACGTGGGTTCTTCACCTGTTTACCTGCAGGAGAAAAAAGACGATGTAGTAATTAAAATGGTGGAAAACGTGTAAATATAGGAAATGATGTTCTAATGGGGTGTTTGTGGGTGGGACAATGAAGGGCCTGCTCTCATGAAAGTAATTCTAGTTATGGTCAATTACTATGCATAAGTATGATTTTGTAAGAAAAAGATTACTAATTTGTGTTAATCAAAATGACTAAGTTGTTAAAAAAAAAGACTGTCAGCAGGTTACACTGGGGAAAGTTCTTCATATTTTCAATTATATCACCCTTACATTTTGTAGAATAGTGTTACTGATGTAAAACTTGTGGGGTTTTGTGTCCCTCAGGGGTGATTCATTGTCTCTATGTGGTATAGTGACCTCTTGTGTATAGTTCTGTGCCTTATTTTATTGTTTATTTTGTAGTTTAATGTCCATTTGGGCATCTTTTTATTAGTTTTGTGTTCCTATGTCTCTCTTACTTCGTTTTGTGGAGGTTTGGTGTCTAAATGTGGTAGTTGTGTCTCTGGGGTGATTTTGTGTCTCTTTGGGGATGTTTTGAGTGTCTTTGCAGTCAATTTACAGTGATTTTGCATCTCTATTTGGTCATATTGTGTGAAGTTTGGTGTCTCTTCTTAATTCCCTGTATTAATGTGTTTTGCGATGCTTTACTGTATATATAATGGTCTATATGTGGTCATTTTTTTCGATGTTATGACATGGGGTACTTTTGCCTTTGTGCTGCTGTGTTTAAATCTTTATATATACAGTCTATTGTTCATATTACCTGAGATGAAGTGAGTACTACATAGCCTGCTGCCGTCGTTAGGCACCCAGCCCTCCCGGTTAACAGCAGCTATCCACCGCTGCTTCCTCTCGGGGTCCCGGGGGAAACGGTAGAAAGATAACGCGGTGCCCGGTGTCCTTCTGTTCCTACAACCAGCCACCACACATGTGTGAACCATAGTAAGGCCACGACCAGAAGCGTGGAGGTGTGCGCAGATATCTGTTCGGTGTTTTGACTCCCAAAATGGTGGCAAACTAGAGGCGAGGCTGAGAAAAAAAAACTGCTGTAACGTCATCAACGGTTGTTTGCATTAAGATATCTGATTGGTACATATTCGAGCGACGTCACTGAAATAGGATCTTGTACTCACGCGGGGCTGCAACTACGCTAACGAAATGATAGTAAATCAATCCACGCAGCGTTAAAATGGCTTAAAAAATGTCAAGTTTATATAGTAACAGAAGTCTAATAAAACGAGCTTGAAATAACAACAAATAGTCCAACACAGAGGAGACGTTTGCGGAGCTGTTAACTGGCTAGTTTACATGTTTAGCTAGCTAAGATGCCATTTAATGCTGCGTTCCTTTTACTAACGGTACTTGTTACCTTGGTGACATCGACATTTGTTATAGCGGCAATCAACTTTGTTTACAATTAATGTCAGCTGCCAGTAGTGGTTCTGCTGAATATATACAGCAGATCTTGCAAAGGTGTGGTTCTGCTAATCTTTTGCTGCAGAACAGTGGTTATTCTGCTGTTCCTGCATCCCGAGTGGATATCAAGTTGGTTTAATATGCTGTGAAATTAGGAAAATCACTGGTCTGTTTTCTTACACTTTACACACTCATTCAGCGGTGGGATATCACTTAGTACATTTACTAAAGCACGCTACAATTTTGACACATTTGTACCTCAATTTAGTAGAATTTCCATAATATGCTACTTCATAACTCTATTTCACATTTCAGAGGAAAACATTGTACTTTTTTTACACCAAATATATCTCACACTTCCACTACTCACATTAAAAACACAGGATACAGTACATTACAAATCTCCATGATAATTAACCGCCACATTAAATACTCCTAGGTGTATGTTAGTAATAAAAACAGAAAAATATATTACTTAATATATAATACATCTGCATAACCTTTGATATTTTAGGTATATTTAGCTAATAATACTTTTGTAGTTTTACTTAAGTAATATTTTTGAAATCCGGAATTGTAAGTGTTATAGGAGTATGCTTATAACTCTACTCTTAGTACTTGAGTTCCATCTGTACTGAAGTGCAATCTTTCCATAGTTGTACTTCACTAAAGTATCAATGTTTCATGATGATTTATATTACTACATTTTATTAATGTAATACATATTTATAATCAAAACTTAGTTTATAGAACACTAATTCTTTTTGAAAGAAAAATTAAACATGAATGGCAAAATACATTTAAAAATACAAGTAATTAAAGACCAAAAAAACTATTCAATGATTCATGAGAGGGTGTATACTTTAATATATATTTTATTTAAATGTATCAGTTTAGCAATGTACAGGATTGTTTTTAGAAACCAGCATCTCTTCAGATGGACCTAACTAGGACGTCTCTACATTTTTGCTGCTAATCGGACAGCTTGATGTGTCCAAGCGCCCTTTACTTTTGTGTGCACAGTTCGTACACAGCGGTGTTCCTGGCCCCTCCGATGTGCTTCAGCCTCTTGAGCTCCGTCAGACAGAGGATGAATATGGGGGTCTTTGTTCCCACCATGCAAATCCTCTGCAGCTCCTCCATCTGAAACTCTGTGTGTTCTCCTGCAGAGGGCAACAAAGGACAGCAAATGAGTAAAGCCTACAAACAACTACAGTCTCCTGGACTTATACCGTGGTTGTTTGATGTAAACAATCTTAAGCATGCCATTTGAGATCTTGAACAAAATAAAAAAGGGAATGTATTTTTTTGTAGATCCTCTCAAATTCAAACACCTAAACAAGAAATGTAGACCTTATCTGTTCACTTTGACCATAAGAGTAGTGTAGCACTGACCTTCACTCTCTGCTGTGAACGTGTTAATGTGCTCCACCACCTGGTTGAGGTTATGCAAAGTTATCTGCCTCAGGTACTTTGGTAAAATCTGGAACTCACTCTCCGACACCGCAGACAGTCTGGGAAGAGGACAAGTAACAATTTAAATCTTTATTACAAAAAACATTAATGATACCGAGGTAGCTGTAAACTCTCTTCTACATTTTGCGGGAAAGGAAAAAGCAACAAGGGTCTTTCCAACGTATTTGCTTTTCAAACACTTTTTCTATCCTTGAAAACTGCAAATTTAAATTCAAGTGTTTCCAAAGACTTCCAGCACCCGGCAAACACTGTCTAAACTTTCTAAAGCATTTGTACAAATTGGATCAAGCCCCAGTTAGAGTTAGGGTAGTGATTTTCTTTCTTTTCTTACCTGTTTTTATCATTTTTTACCCTGATATTTGGGTGCACAACAGCGACCGTAGGGTTCTTCAACTGAGCCTGGGACACAAGCTTCAAAATAAAAGAGAAATCAGAAGTGAGAAAAACACAATACAAGTAATTGGCCTAATATGTCCAACACATTTAAAGTCTCTTCATTATCTATACTCAAACAGCACATTTCAGGAAGCCTGGAACCTTTTATAAATGCATTCGAAACTGTGTAAATCATTCTGCTATTGGTTTAGCTTAAGAGCAGCATATGTATGTATGTATACAGCAAATGTGTATGTGTAGGTTGCATGAGTGTATATGCATTTTTTTGATATACTTTATTAATCCCTGTGGGGAAATTGTTTCTCTGCATTTGACCCATCCTAGTGTGAGGAGCAGTGGGCTGCCATTATGTACGGCGCCCGGGGAGCAGTGTAGGGAACAGTGCCTTGCTCAGGGACACCTCGGTAGCACTTGGTCTTGCTGGGACTTGAACTGTTGACCTTCCAGTTGCCAAGCCAAGTCCCTATCGACTTCGCCACCACCGCCCTTTTACATGCATATACACTCATCCAACAATATGTCTGGCATATATTCGTGTGTGTGTGTGTGTGTGTATAAGGATCACTGGCATACAATCAGCACAGACCAATCGCTCATTTGCATTGGCATATATTATGTTTACTATCACTATATGACAAACACTGCTTATTGATTGTCGAAACTAAATAAAGATTTTTGATTTGAAAGTCTCTTCATTATTGTTGCTTTTTAAGGAACGAGATAAAGCCAAAGACTGTTTGAGTGAATCTCAATATAAAAACTCAAGGTACAGAAACTATAAGACACTATGTCTGTTTGAATAAGCAGGACTTACTTTACAGATGTCCTGAGTCACAGAGCTCAGTTCGGGCATCTCGGGGGTGGTGGGCTCTTCGTAGTCCATCCTGATGCGAGGGATCCCTAAGCTGAAGTTCTGGGTGGGGCTGTCCAGATCCAGACTTTTGACAGTGGGCTCCTTGTTCTCCTTTTTAATGTTGAAAGTCTTCCTCAGCATTTTTTCACTTCTCTAGAGGCAAACAGGAGACATATAAAAAGTGGGGCAAACATTTAAAAAGGATGATGAATTTCACGTTTTAATAAAGTTATTGTTTTACCATCTAAATATAGATTAGCTATTTTTGTTGTATTTAGCTATATTAACAGCAGCAAAAGGTCCTAAACCCCAGAAAGGAGTTAGCATTTTGCACTTCACTGAGTTAATGGGTTTTTGGTTAAATGCTTAAAATAAGGGGAATGATTAAGGATGAACTTATCATCTACTGAGTGTACGTCTACACCAGGGATGGGCAAATGGCGGCCCGGGGGCAACCGACTGTCGTTATGCCTGCTGTGACGTTAAGTTACCGCTTGTAATTATACCTTTACAAGCTTCAAAGTTGTATTTATCATCTGAATTTGGCAAAACAAGTTTAATATTCTAAAAACCAAGACTTTGTTTATTTGAAATCAGATGAAAACAAACTGCCGTGGTATCTATGATTACTATACGCTTTTCATTCATAATTTCAGCGGGAGGGAGGGGGAGCGGCGCTGAGGAACAGCAGAGTGGGGGCTGACAGGTGTCTGTGTTGACATTCCCCTTATTGTGCGTCAGCAGAGACAGGCTACAAGTGTCTTAGGTTCAAGTTAGACAACTAATGTCTGGGTTAGGGTTCATGACTTGATGTTTATGTCATCTTAATGGTTAATCTCAATGCACACACATTTCCCGTGCTTTCCAATAGTTTAAAATAGTTTTATTCCACTGTTAAATAACCTGTTCATTACAAACATGCCACTTGTCAAAATGTAACAACATTTCTGTGAACTGATATTTGTTTAGTGAGCTTATTAGAGGATGTTCCCTGAAAGATTGTAAAATGTCAATGAAGATGTCAGACTTAGTACATTTGTTAATAATTACATACAATACATGGAATTTGTGTGTGTGTGTGTGTTCCAAGTGAATCTGCAGCCCCCTGGTGGCCAGTACATAACTTATGTGGCCCCCACCACCATCCAAGTTGCCCATCCCTGGTCTACACCCTATGGTCTACACTAACCCCTTTTCCAAATCAAAAAGGGACCTTTTTTGGCTGCACATGGCAACTTGTGTTTTACCAATATGGCCAAATGATGGCAATCGGCAGCTAAAAGTGACCTGGCTTTAAACAGCGTTCCTTTGTTCTTACTTTCTGTAGGGAATTTCCCAAAGTACACTCCAGGTTTGGCATCTCTGGCATCTCCATGTCCTCCGCACCCATGCTGCCTATCTCCGGCACGTCGTATTCCCAGGGGCGTTTGGATCCGATTGCTCCGGTACAAGGTGATTCAAAGAAGTGGGAATCCTCAGAGTTCCCAGGCTGCCCTGCATTCTGTGGACACATGCACACACACTCTTGAGTATTTGTGTCTGTAAAGAAATACATTCTCCACATGCACTCATATGTCATACCTTTTTAGAGCTGACCAGGTAGTTCATATGTGGAATCAGAAATGCTGGGACCTCTGGGGTAGTAGGCAGGTTTCCAAGGCGACGGGGGGATTCTGGGGGATCGTTGGAGGAGCGGTAGTGTTACGTTATTATGAGAGTGCTCTGTTTGATTCTGAAATTGTATATATTTATATAAATATATACATATATGTGTGTGTGTGTGTAAGTGTGTGTGTGTGTGTCCCCGCATCTATAGCCTGTTATTGTCTCATTATACCACACTTTGAATGAATCAAAGTAAATATATAAGTGGTCATGAACACATCTGTCCATCAGACAGAGGGCTGCTGTGCCTCCTGTAATCATTAATGGACGTCTCTTTAAAATGACCGCTCAGAGGAGAGGAGTTCTCATTTCTCTAACCGCCTGCTGCTCCCCCTCCTCTCTCCTCGGTTCCCCTCCTCGGCTCCTCCACTCGCATCTCCTGTAGGCGGGACTAAGCCTAGAGGATAGGATTCGAGGAGGGGGAGTCGAAGAGGGGAGTTAAAGAAATGACAAACGGCCCCGGACCTGTCCCACCAGGCCTCCTGTACACAAAGGGGAGGACCCGCCCCTATCGCTGCTGTGCCAATCACGAGGCCGCATGACACACGCTGGCTCTGTCAGGTTCCCCGTGATTGGC